AATTTCTGTTTTGAAAGTACAGATCAAGGTATTCTAATTTTTTTGCAGCTCTCAAGATTTATTGCTACATTGGCATGGCTGACCAGCTCGTTGCTCTGGTCTATTACAAGGCGCTCCAACAGTTTAACAGCCGTTAAAATTCAGAGAAGCTTCTAAAAGTTTGTCCAACAGTAATAGCTAAACTCCTGTCATCTTCCATTGTATTTTCTGTGAAGCATTGGACCCACTTATAACTTCCTTTAAAAAATCCAGCAGGGGGTCAGAGGTCATAATCCAACATTTTTGGGGGGGCAGTTAGCCCCCATGACTAGGTAGAGGTCTTCTTTGACACTTCCTTTTATGCTAGTCAAATTAACGTCTCAAAATAAATGTTAGACCTAGTGATTTTTTTGTAGAGTTTAACTGCTATTTACATTAGTACTTTTGCGTTACAGTTTTGTGCTAGTTCATATTTCTAAATCATGTTTCTGAGTATTCACGTATGTTTGTTTCATAGCATGTTTGTCTTGGTCGCTTAGTGTCTTCGCCATAGCAATCTGGGTTGTTTGCGCATATTAAACAAAGCGTGTTCAAGAAAAGAAAAAAAAAGAAAAATAAAAAGGAGGTTAGCTATTGATAGAGGCAGGATCACAAAACTGCTACAGAAGCCTTAAGTTACAGTAACATTTTACTCATGCATTAATCAAACATATAAGGTCATGCACACATATTTTAACGAAATCGCCGGGACAAGGAAATCTTTCCGTTATTGACGAATCTCGCTATGTGCCGGTTAAGATACAAATAAAATGCACTTTAAAAAAAAATCTGGACCTAAAAACATCTTCACTATGCGAGTGTTAAGCTACTGGGGTATTCACTATGTGCGTACTGGGCTGTAACTGAGTAAAGTACGCGCTTCAGAATTAAATTTAAGCACAACACGGTAGTCAACATACCTGTGACAACAATAGTGTGGCTAGATCCACAGGCCGCGAGTTTGATGCGGCCTAAATACGAATGGTGAGTGATGTCGCCTGCTCGGAAATCCAAGTTGCCCGTAACGTCATGTCCGTGTTGACCAAACTCTCCACAGCCCCAAGATGTCAGCGCCCTCCCAAGTTTGACGGACTGTGAACAGAAGTTATTGAGAAAGCAATGACAGGTAAGCCAATATTATAACAACACATCAACTTCCTGACCTTCTTCTAACAGCGTGTGTGTATGTCTGAGCTGAGTGTATATGTTTATGTGCATTGGAAGTATCATCATCATCATCATCATCATCATCATCATCATTATCATCATGATCACCATCATCATCATCGTCGTCGTCGTCGTCGTCG